TGCTGCTGCAGATAAGAAGTGGGGTAACCAGCAGGTATCTCGCAGCTGGCTCTTTTTCAAAAGCTAAGACTTGGGATTGCTTCCTCACATGCCTGCTCCTCTCTGTCTCTGAGGCAGCACCAGATGGGACACGCTGTGTTTTTCCAGCAGACTCCCTAACCGATTTCACAATCCTTTTTCTTGGAAGCCAGTGCCAAGCTCTGTACGTGGGTAACGCCCAGGAACAGCAATGCAGGCCTATCCTAACAGGGCACGAGGAAGCTTGATCCCAAACGGCTTCTCAAAGACAGAAATTACTCACAGGGGAGCAATTTTATCCACCAGAGCAGCCTGTAAAACGGAGGGATGCAGGGATGTAAAATCCCAGGAAATGGACTTCAGTCACCAGCCATCTTTCTTCTGTGTGCTGGAAGTATCAGGGATTGGGATTCCTGCTCATTGTCAACAGTAAATAAGCAACAGTCATCACTTCTGTGTGAATTGTGTTAGCCCTGGGCTCTGCCATTGCCAGCAGGGCAGCAGTGCTTCATGGTAGGCAGCAATTAGCTGGGAAACATGGCAAGGCCAACCTGGAAGCCCCTTTATCCTCATCGTATAATCATAGAATGGTTTGGGTTGGAAAGGACCTTAAAGCTCATCCAGCTCCAACCCCTGTCACGGGCAGGGACACCTTCCACTAGAGCAGGTTGCTCCAAGCCCCTGTGTCCAACCTGGCCTTGAACACTGCCAGGGATGGGGCAGCCACAGCTCCTCTGGGCACCCTGTGCCAGCGCCTCAGCACCCTCACAGGGAAGAGCTTCTGCCTTAGATCCAACCTGAACTTCCCCTGTTTCAGTTTGAACCCATCACCCCTTGTCCTATCACTACAGTCCCTGATGAAGAGTCCCTCTCCAGCACCCAAAATCCTCCCAGCTACAACACCCTACACAGTAATGTAGGCTGCCCTGGGCTCTTACCTGGCCACCCCATCCCTGATCCTCATAGCACTCTGAATAATGTTTATATTCACTTCAAATAGCTCCCTAATGTAAGCCAGGAGGTAGAATATTGTGCAAGTGGGCAATGCAGAGTTTCTGATGAAGCCACACTATGGAGCTAATCGCTCCTAAGTACCACAGGACACATCCTGGCCAATCTATTGCAAAACATTGCTATGAGCTGGGCTGAAGATGACTCCAGTTTGAGAACCCGAGGAACCACAGACTGTATCATTTTGTCTCTTTCCATAAGATGCCATCAAAGAACAGTGGCAGTATTTCCTTACCTCCCCCAGGAGCTGAACTTTGGCTTATATTTTGTAACCTAGCAGGTCCAGTCATACAAGCAGAACTTGAGTGTTGCTTCATGGTACATTCCTGCATGGATGTTAAGCACTTTTCCTGTTGCAGAAGACCAAGAAGAGAACCGTATTTCCTGTCAGAGATGGGTTCATCTCCCACGTGCAGGTCAGGCAAGGCATGATGATAGACGGAACTGGGAAGACTGGGAGCCCCAATCGAAGGGAAAGGCCATAAGTCTGCAGGTTGGGTTGGATGACTCCGCAGAGATGGTGGCTGGTACTGACCTGCCAGACCAGCAGCAGCAAAATTCAGACCCGAATTTGACACGCTTGGTGCAGAAGATGGTGGATATGTTTTGGAGCAATGTGAAGAGAAATTCCACTGATGGGGAGACATGCTATCTACTTAAAAGAGAAAGAAAGCATCTGAAGTCTCATCAATTCTTACTTTTGTCCCAAGGCAAATTCCAGTGGCCTTCTAAGGGAACACTGCCAAACTGCATATTCATTTTAAATAAATATATATTCTCCATAGTGCTGCTCGTCTTCAAAATCAACCACAAACTCATGCTAAAAGCAGACTAAACCACCACCAATACTTCCAAATAACTATAACGTGTTTTCTTACAGGCCATGGACATAGGCAGCTTTTTAACCATTGCAAGCTCAGACAAATAGATTATAACAAATAAAGTCATACTGCACTTAATGCATCTGACTGTGATGGAGACACTTGGCTGGAAAATGAGGACCCAGTCCTGCCAACAGGCCCATGGACAGCTTGGGAAGCACCCCAGCAAGGCCAGGGATTTACTCAGGAAGTCCCAGCTATATAACCCAGGGCTTTGCAAGCTTTTCTTGCTTTCTGTTTGTACGTGGTTCCAAATGGAAGCACGCTGCATCTTAAACTCTTAGTGATAGCCAGTCCCCCCTGTCTAACGCCCCGCTCAGGCATGGAAAGCAGCTCACCGTTCTTCAGGACAACAGTCTCATCCCTCTGCTTTGTGCTCAGGTCTTGTGGGTTCTTGGCATTGCTTAGAGCTCTTGAAAAATGTTCATCCACCACACTGTTAATATCCCCTTGGAAGTAGGTAAATACAACACTCTGAGCCCCCCATTCTGTTTTCACAGGTTCTTTGCTTTTACACGGCTTTGGAGAGAGCTTCCTTGTTTCTTCCATTTCCAATGAGCACCAGCCCCTGCCAAAGAAAACCAGAGCAGTCAAAGACATACTGTTCAGCTTAAAGTGCACAGCCAGTGGTGAGCCCATCTTCCTCTTGAAACTGGTAGGGCCAGACCAAGTGTTACTAGTAAGATGAGATTCTTTATCTGGGTTTCTGCTTATTCCACACACCTTTTCTTCACTGTTTTCCTTATTATAGGAAATGATTTCATATTATTTCTAATATGAAATACTTGAAGTATAGAACGAAAAGAGAAACCTTTCAATAAATATGTATTAAGCTTTCCAGAATTGTGATGGGAGTGCATTTTTCCCAATCAAAGGGAGTCCAGTGAGTAACTTGTTCAATACAGGATCTTTTGGTGGTGAGCTCTAAGTTTGATAGAACTGTACAATATGCAACCTTAGTAAAGGACACTGTGTTGTGAAAGCAGTGAATGGCTCAGAGAAGCAAAGAGCCTGATGGATGCCACCCTTGTATGAGTTACCTGTCAGTGCCACAGCATTGGCTCTGTTAAGGAATGAAATGCTGTCATTTCTCACCCTGCCTTTATAGCCCTGTACTTAGGACCTAGCACTGTGCCCTGAAGATGGAACTATGCTGAAAGATCTGAAGCACCGAGACAAATAATTCAGAGGTCACATTAGTCCTGGATGTTCACGGTGAACTTAGAGAATCACAGAATAGGCTGGGTTGGAAAGGACCTTAAGGTCATCCAGTTCCACCCCCCTGCTGGTACCTCACACTAGACCATGTCACCCAAGGCTCTGTCCAACCTGGCCCTGAACACTGCCAAGGATGAAGCACTTAACACTTCTCTGGGCACCCTGTGCCAGCACCTCAGCACCCTCACAGGGAAGAGCTTCTGCCTTGTATCTAACCTGAACTTCCCCTGTTTCAGTTCAAACCCATCACCCCTTGTCCCATTGCTACAGTCCCTGATGAAGCATCCCTCTCCAGGAGGATTCCTTCCTCTGGGATTCCTCTCTGGGAGGATTGCTCTGTTCAAGTCTGGCTTCTGCATTGTTCAAATAACATTGACAGAGTGAAATAAAACATTAAAGAAGAAAAAATATCATTAGAGCTTAAAATAATAACAACTTTAGATAAGGTAAAGTTCAAAGTACCTTGAGCACTGTCAGCATGGGCTTCCACAATGAGATGTCTGAGAGTAGTTGCTTCACCTATTAGAAAAAGGCAGATTAAATTATTGGAAATTCAAATTATGGCAAATTCAAGTAAAAAGCCCCAAATAAACTAAACAAAACCTCTTTTTTGTTTGAAACAACGTACTGAGGAACATGGTGGGTCTGTCAGTTGCTTAAAACTTCGGGAGCGAGACTGCTAAACCACACACCAAGACTGTTAGAACGTACACTGTAGTTCAACCAGAACTCATGGATTTAAGGCAAGAATTACTCTAAAATAGTTTGCAGGAAGTCAAATGAAGACTCTAAGACTCCTTTTTGTTCTCCTTACAAAATCTCTGCTGCCAGGTATGGTGAGAGTAGGATAAGGAACGTCACTGCCTGCCCTGGACAAGCATGGTTAATATGCATCTGTGCAGTTTCAGGCCACAGGGGAGTGAGTTCTACAAGCAGAGCTCAGGTATTCTGCTGTAATCAAAATCGTATGTAGCAGTGCTCAGGCTGTGAATGCAGGGAGAAGTGCCTGCTGTTCCTATGCCATGTTCCAGTCTTGCTGTCAGCTCATCACACCACACAGCAGAACTGCTCTACCTTCGTAGCACGGAGGCTGTTATGCTCCAGAGACCAGGGAAACCTTTGGTCAACAGCCAGCTGTACCACACAAAACCTGGTGAGTCAGTAGAGTTGTGCTTCCATCCAACTGACCCTGCAATATGCAGCATTGCTTAACCTATTCCAATACCTTTATCTGATCTCTCTTCTAATCATAACCCCCACCCCCCCCATCCTCAGAAGCTTCCTAATAAACTTGTGCTCATCTGTGTCCCAAAGGGTACTCTGAAGTATCTGCAAAGGCTGTGTCCAAATGGTCTCTTAGTATTTTTTATGCATGAAAAGATTATTCAGGCTGCAAAGCCAAGTATTCAGACATTGAAAAATATGAGGATTGAGGTCACCCAGCATAATGTGTGCCCTTTTTGTGTTCAAGCCTTCATCTATAAACCTCTTGTCCATGTTTATCATTTGCTTCTAGATCCAGTTTTGCTTGTTACCTCTCCTCCTTCATGGACCCTTCCTCAAATAGCACCAATCCCCTGTCATCAACCACCCATTTGTGAGGAACTCAGTAGTTCCTCAGTCCTCATCTTAGGATTTGTATTGCTTTACCCTTCTTGCATCCTTTCCCAGCTCCAGCCTCCGGTCCACTTAGACACAGTGGTGGGGATGGGACACACACAGGTTGGTCACCAGTTAGGAAATGCAAAGGAATGCTCTAACAGTTGTCTGATTCAGAAGACAATCCTTCAGAGCTTTAAAACTGATGAAACTTTACCAGTCAGAGAAAACTTAAACCAGAAACCCTTCCTCCTGATTTACAGGCACCTTCCCAAGACCCATGAGGGGAGAAGGAACTAGCACAACCCAGCCAAACAACTGGAAGAGCTTCAAGCACAGGAAGAGACACTCTTTTGCAGTCTTGTTTTAGAACGCAACCCACTGTTTAGGTTAAGAAACTCTCTGGTTGCTCAGCTGGAGGCCAGCACTTGCCATTGTAAATTCTAACCCAGGCAGTAAAGACTTGGCAAAGTCATCAGCGACCATATGGCCTGAGAAATAGTACATGAGGCCATCTCAACAGCCAGGAGCAAACCAGCTCTTCCTATGCTGCTCCACCACTACACAGCAACATAAACTTTAGGAAGCATTAGCTGTGGCCCAGAGGTCTACTTTTCCTGTTCCTCACTCAGTGCAAGGCAGCCATTTGGTCTTCATACCACTTTATTAACATGCTTAACTTGCCTGTGGCATTAACTGTAAGCTACTGCAGTGCTGTTTATTGCTGTGTAGCAGCTGTTCCACGTGTGTGAATTGTGAGTTCCTCACCCTTGGAAGTAATATTAATTTCCCATCACTGTAGCACCAGACAGGCAACTCAGTTCTCTATTTCACGCAGCCCAAAACAGCTTTAAAATTGAATTATAGAGACACAGATTGATTTGGGTTGAAAAGACCTTAAAGCTCCTCCAGCTCCAACCCCTGCCACGGGCAGGGACACCTTCCACTAGAGCAGGTTGCTCCAAGCCCCTGTGTCCAGCCTGGCCTTGAACACTGCCAGGGATGAGTGTAAATAAAATACAAAAACTTGCCACTTCCAAAGTATTGAGCAATAATTTAACAAACAGACATTCACCTTCCTCAAGTAGCTTTCAAATAAGTGAACATTTAGGAAAGTCAGTGAACACAAGTTGAAATGATCACTGAATTCTCCTACCTTAACTCACTGTCGGGAGCGGTGTCACGCCAGTGGGGTATTCCAGATGTGGGATGCTCATGCTGCGTCCAGCAGTTTGGGATCCTTCCCCCAGCAGGCTAAGTGCACTCTGCAGTGACTGCAGGAGGAGACGAGCAACGTTCATGAACTCCTTACATGCTTTCTAGCCTCTAGCTGCGAGTGAACTAGGCGTTTCCTTCAGCCCATCTGCTAAGAATGCATGAAATGCACTCCAACGAGTCAACCGGGTTAGGAGGTTTCAGGAATGAGGAAAACAGGACTGTAAGCAGGGGTTGTTTTTTATGACAATGTGTACACAATAAAGAAGACAGTGTCTGGACTTCAGAAGAGTTTACACTAAGATGAGAAATAGGTTATGGCAGAGAACCAAACTTCGCCAGGATCAGAAAGGACTTTCCTATGCCAGGTTACAGGATATTGAGTAACTACGAATGTCCACAAGAAGGAAAAGATCACCTTGTCGCCATCCCAGAGAAACTGGATAACCAATTCTCATTCTCCTCTTTGCTGGATCTGTTTAAATGACTGAAGAAAACTTCAGACAATAAAAACATGATTCTTGTTCTGCAGGGGCTATAGCAAGAAAGAGAGAATTTGGGGATTTTCTGCAGTAAGTTTACCAAAGTAACCCAGTTGAAGCCATTCAAGAAATCCCAGACTGGTTTGTGTTGGAAGGGCCC